CCTGCCTGATGCTGTCCCTCCTCCCCTCTTTTCCTTGACAGATCTGATGTGGTGGTGCTCTGCTTCTCCTTGGCCAACCCCAACTCACTGCGGCATGTGAAGACCATGTGGTACCCAGAAATCAAGCACTTCTGCCCGCGTACCCCCATCGTGCTGGTGGGCTGCCAGCTGGACCTGCGCTATGCAGACCTTGAGGCAGTGAACCGGGCGCGTCGTCCCTTGGCCAAGTAGGGCCCCGTCCCGCTGTCTGAGGCCACTCATTCTGGGGGGGCTGGCAGGTGTGGTCAGCCCCCCCATCCTAGATCGGTTCCTGCCTGTCCCATGGGGGTGCCTCCGCTCTCTGCCGCAGTTGGGTTAGTTTGCCCTTCACGGGGACCTTCCTGGGCATTCTTTGCTTATTGGGGTCCCTCCTGCTTTATTTCAGGCCCATTAAGCCTTCGGATATCCTGCCCCCCGAGTGCGGGCATGAGGTAGCCAAGGAGCTGGGCATCCCGTACTACGAGACGAGCATCGTGGCCCAATTTGGCATCAAGGATGTCTTCGACAATGCAATTCGGGCCGCCCTGATCTCCCGTCGCCACCTCCAGTTCTGGAAGTCTCACCTGAAGAAGACGCAGCACCCACTGCTGCAAGCCCCCTTCCTGCCTCCCAAGCCTCCCCCACCCATCATCCACATCCCTGAGCCAGCTGCTGGGGAAGGGCGGGGACCCAGCTCGCTCTTCCAGGAGCCCCTTTGCGCCGATGTGGTCTTCTGCCTGCCAGGAGGCCACCAGCTCTTTGCGCACAGGGTCTACCTGGCCACAGCCTGCTCCCGGTTCTACGACCTCTTCGCGGGGGACCCGGGGGAGGGGCTGGCCGGTGGGAAGGAGCCAGCCAGCCGGACGAAGAGCTTGGACGCAGCAGACCAGGGATGCCCAGCCACAGCCACGCAGGCCGTGCCGCTGCGGCCCTCTCAGAGTGATGAACCACTGTGTGCTGCTCGGATGCCCGGCCCGGTTTCTGGCTGGGGCCGGGGCATCGTTGACGTGCGGCAGGAGCGGGTGCGGGACCCGGTCACGCAGCAAGAGAAGCCGATGACAGCCGTATACCTGGATGAGCCGGTGCAGCTGGGCCCTTTCCAGGTGGTGCTGGAGTACCTGTACACCGGGCACCTGGATCCGACCCAGGCCAGCCTCATGCAGGTGGCCGCCATGGCCGAGCTGCTGGAGGTGTTCGACTTGCGCATGATGGTCGCCAACGTCCTGAACAAGGAGAGCTTCATGAACCACGAGATCACCAAGGCCTTCCACGTGCGCCGGGCCAACCGGATCAGGGAGTGCCTGAGCAAAGGCTCCTTCGCAGGTAGCTGAGAGGAGGGAGGCCGGAGGGCAGCCCCGGTCGGCCGCCCCGTGCCCAGGACTGACCCCCCCCCGCTTCCCCCCGGCAGATGTGGTGTTCCTGGTCGATGATGGCTCCGTGCCAGCACATAAGCCCCTCCTCCTGGCAGGCTGCGACTTCATGGTGGCCATGTTTGGGGGCACCTTCCGGGAGAGCTGTGCTGCTGAGGTGAGGCGGGCAGCCCTGCTGCCACCTTATAAGGGGGGGGCAGGCTTGTGCAGGGGACAATACCATGGCTGTGCCACTGGGGGGGGTGGCCAGTTGGGGGGGGCTTTTGGGAGGGGTGTCTTCCCTGCCTAGGTGCATGGAAGCCCCAGCTTGGCCCCCGGAGACACCAGTCATGTGGCTGGAATAAGGGGGCTTCGTGGTGGCACCTCTTTCCTGGGGAGAAATGGAGGAGAGCTTCCCTGCCTGTGAGGCTCCTGAGCTTGGTTCTCTGCTTGGCCGCTGACCCCGAGGGCCAGGCCAGTGTCCGGCGGAGGAGTGGGAAGGGCCCTGGTGCTTCCCCTGGTTTCTGAGCGGACAGCCAGCCCCACCGTATGGGACCCCTTCAAAACAGGATCGGGGGGCTCCATCCGCCCCCAAGGCCAACCCCCCCCCCAGCCTGCCGGCTTCCTCTTCCCTCAGCGCTGCCCTCCCCTCCCCTTGCTGGCGACCATGGAAGTTGCAGTTTTGTGCTTCGAATTCCTCCCAAATCGCCCGGAGCAGCTGGTGGAGGCGAAGGGTGGGCCGAAGCGGGTAGAGGCCTCCCTGAGCGCCGTCTCTCCCACCCCCAGGTCTCCCTGCCGGGCACCAACTGCGCCTGCCTTCGGGCTGTGCTGGAGTTCCTGTACACGGGCCTCTTTGTCCCCAGCCCAGACCTGGACGCCATGGAGCTGCTGGTGCTCACCAACCGTCTGTGCCTGACCCGCCTGCAGGCCCTGACTGGTGAGTCTCTTTGGGGCTCCCCTCTGTGCCAACATAGCGCTTCTGGGCACCGAGGGCGGCACAGCAGCAGCAGCAGCCAAGCAGGGGCCGGGAAGCGGGCGTTCCGGGGGGGCAGCGAGAAAGAGCGCTCCGTCCCGAGTGCCGTTTCCTCCTTTTCTTCCCAGAGCAGCACGCGGTGGATGAGCTGATGCGTGCCAGCCTTCAGCAGGTGGAAATCGATGCCCAGGTGATCCTCTACCTGGAAATGACACAGGTACGGTGCAGCCGCCTTGGCCCCGGCACTCAGGGAACCTGAGCGGAGGAGAGGCTTCCTGCAAGTTTAGATTTTTTAAACCCACCTTTATTATTTTTATAATTCAGGGTGGCAAACAAAGTTAATACGCCTTCCTCCTCTTCTTCTCACAACCGCCCTGTGAGGTGGGCTGGGCTTAGAGAGAGCGACTGGCCCAAGGTCCCCAAATCGGCTTTTGTGCCCGAGTGGGACTAGAACTCCCCACCGTCCCCAATGTCCCGCCTGAGGCCTTTATCACCAGGCCTGTGCCAGATTCCCCCCCTCCCCAGGCAGGGAGGGGGCCCCAGGGACGGGGTGGCCTGACCCTGCTCCTCCCCACAGTTCCATCACGCCCTCCAGCTGGCCGCCTGGTGCCTCCACTACATCTGCACCAACTACAACCAGGTCTGCCGCCGGTTCCCGCGCGAGATGAAGGCCCTGTCTCCCGGTAAGCCCCGCGGCTGAGCACGGCTCCTGGGCCGGTCGCTGCTCACACGCTTCAACACACCAGGAAGGAATTGGGGTGGGGGGGGGTTCCCCTCAGGGTGGCCCCCTCCCTTCCCCAGGGCCTGCCTTTCAGCTGATGCCTGCCGTGCCTGGCTTCTCCCCAGAGAACAGGGCCCACTTTGAGAGCCACCGCTGGCCCCCCATCTGGTACCTGAAGGAGGAGGACCGCTACCTGCGCATGCAGAAGGAGCGGGCGCAGGAGGAGGAGGCCCTCCGCAAGCAGCATCCGCGCAGCAAGTGGTGCTTCTGGCGCCCCCACCGGCCCAGCCCCGTCTCCTGAGCAGGGCCCCGCCCACTGGGAGGGGCCCCGCCCTGCTGCTGGTGCCTTTGCTGGGGAGGGGCGCCTCTGTCCTGTCTACCAGCTGCCTCTCCATTCCCGGCTCTGTGCCTCTTGCCGTGGCTGCCATGCCTTTACTGGGGGGGGGAGGGGCCCAGCACTGGTTGCTACCTCTGACCTTGGCAGTATTCTGGGGGGGGTGGGAGGGGGGAAAGTGACCGCGCAGGTGATGAGGAAAAGGGAGGGGGGGGTTGTGGTGTGATTATGTGCCGTGGAAGGGGATCAGTGGGGGGATTTGGGGGAGGCTGGGTGGGTGCATGAGTGGAGGAGCCAGAGCCCCCTAGTTGGGGGGCCACTAGCCGTAGAAAGGGCTCGCTTCCCTTCCCGTGGGGGGGGCAGTGCAGAGAGGCGCTGTGGCTGCTCCTGGGACACCTGGCAGCTGCTGCCCAGAGCTGGCCTTTCCTTGGGGGGGGGCAAAGTGGTGGGAGTGCCCGCCCTTCCCTGGTGCCATCTGGTGCATGAAGGGAAATCGCTGCCAATAACCTTAGCAAAAAAAGGGGGGGCCCTGCAGAGCTGCAGTTTTTAAACCTTTTTCACTTTTTTCTACCTGTTCCGTTTTTTTCTCAAGATGTCAACCAAGCACAAACTGATCTGGGGGTGGGCCGGTGTGACCTTCCCCACCCTGGACCGAAGGGCTTTGATGCCCCCAGGCCCCTTGTGGCCTGCGTGCATCTGCATAACCACTGTGAGCTGGGCTAGCCCCCGTTTCTTATACACTTTGCTGTTGAGCCGTTTGGAATCTTTAATAAAGAGCCTTTTGTATTGTGCATCCTGGAGTCTGCCAATCCCTTTCTGGGGGGGGGGGAGAGACCTCCCTGGCCTGTAGAGGACATGTGGGGGGGGGCACGGTGCTTGGTTCCATAATTTAGGGGCCCCGGGGCAAATGAGCCACCTTAACTGTATTCCTGCACCCCACCCCACAACTACGGGCAGGATGGTGGATTTGGGGTGGGGCACCTTCCTGACTGGCAGCCCAGAAGGATCGGGGGGGGGGGTCAGCTTTGCAGGCACCCCCGTCTCCTGCTGCATGGGGGAAATCGCTTGAAAAAAAGGCAACGGGACCAGGCTTTCTTCCTTGTCAGCCAAACATAACTGTATTTTATTCATCAGGAAAATAGACGATCTAGCAGCTTGCTCTGAAACACTAAAAAAGCAGTCGGGGTTGTGCTGAAGCCTTCGGAGTCTAAACAAACCCGGGCAGGGCAGGAGAACTTTCTGGCCAGGGGCTGCTCTGCTGCAGGCCCAGCCGAGCCGCCCCTCTTCCCTGGGGCCGTGAGACAGTCCCCTTCCCGCAGAGCTGAGGCCTTGGGAACAACGCGCCAGCCAGCTCCGCTCTCGGCCTAGCAGAGTCAGGCCAGGGCTCCCTGCTTCGGCTCTGCTGCGGGCAGGGCGGAGGGGGCACCCTGAGCTACTGGGCCAAAGGAGAGGCCAAATCCCAGGGGACGCCTGCTTGGGCCAAAAAAATAAACGGCCTTTTGGGGAGGGGGGGGGAAGAGCTCCCTTTGTGTGCCGTCCAGCTGGCTTCGTCACGCTAGGCGACGTCCTTCCTCCGCGTCCAGCGACTACCTGCAACCCGAAGGGCTACACCTGGTGGTAGAGGATGATCTCGCTCAGCTCGAACCCCGTGACAGCAAAGGTGGTGCCTTCCGGATTGCAGAAGCGGGCGCCACAAATCTGCGTGTCAGTCACACACTCCGTGTGGCAATGCTCGAACTGCAGGGAAATTGGTGGGTCCCTTTCAGGCATTCCTGCCCCCCCCCCAAAGAGAGCCTAGGAATCCAGAGTGAGGCTCTGGAAAGATGGGCGTCTCCCACCCCCTCAACCGAGCAGCCCTTGGGCTCACCTCAATGCTGTCTGTGTCCGCATTGAGGCTCAGTCCCCAGACCCGCACGAAGGAGTCCTCAGCCGCAGACAGCAGCTGGGCAGGAGACAGAGAAGACAAGGCCTGGGGGGGGGATCTCTGGGTCTGCAGGCCTGGACTGGAGACCCTTCCCACAGAAGGTGACCCAGGAGAGCGCCAAAGCTGCCGGGGTTTCTAGCTGGGGGGGTTTCTAGCTGGGTGCCCCCCCATCCTCTTCAGGCAGGTTGCGATTGTGGTGACCTGCACATAACCCTTTACCCACGGGAAGGGGGGGCACCTCCACCAGCTCTGCAGAGCCTGCCTGCTACCTGCGCCAAAGAGCCCAGGTCTGCGCAAGCTGCAGCTTAGGCGTGCTCACGTCTCGAAGGTTGGCATCCAGAACCAGGGAAGCTGAGCCGTGCCCCACGGAGGCCTCTTGCCAAACTCTGGCTGCCCCTCCCCCATGGCGCTGGGCTCACCTTCCCCGAGAGCGGGGCCAGGTCCAGGGCGTAGATCCAGCGTGCGTGAGCGCTGACTTGGGCTCTCAGGGTCCCACGTGCCGCTTCGAACAAACGAATCTGCCCGTCCCCGTAGCCGGCAGCCACGACCCCGTTCCACAGCTTCACCGAGGAGCAGGTGCAGCTGGGCGTGAAGGGGAGGAATCAGGCCCTGCTGGGCGGGTGCTGGAGCTCAGAGGCCGAGCACCTCCTGCCACAGGGAGGCCAGCGCCCCACGCCCTTAGCACCCCACTGAGCAAAATCGGCAGCAGGGGGGACATCGCTGCCTCGCTCTTGCAGCCCGGGACCTGTTCCGTTGTGAGGAGAGGAGGGTCTCGCCTCCCACCCGCTGCTCCGAGCAGCCACCCTGAGCTCCACATAGCAGCCGGGCCTTCTTGCTGTGCAGAACTTCCATCTGCCCCCCCCCCAATCTTTTGCCTCGGGTCCCCTTCTCCCCCACCGGCCCGTACTCAGAAGCTGGAATTTTGGTGATCAGCCTGAATGTCTCTCCAGACCCCCAAACGCACAACGCTCCAGAGTCGTCTGCCGTCACCAGATCCGCAGCTCCCTCCTGCAATGGGAGAGACAGGACTGCCGTCCGTGGCCTGTGGCCTTTCGAAGGCCGGCCCGAATGGCTGCCTCGTGGCCAGGAGGACCCAGACAGCCACGCAGGAGGGCCAAAGGGCTGGGCGCTGCTTCCCCAGGGCAGCTTAAAGATGACCAGGAACAGAGGAGGCAGCCCAGAGGGAGTTGGGGGGGGGCTCAGGCTGGCCCCCTCCGGCCTTACCGGCTGCTCACAGAGCTCTGCGCCAATGTCCGTGATGGGGCTGTTGTGCTGCTCAAGGACTTCGCTCAGTGCGATGTTGGTGCCTTTGGAGGGGACGTCAAAGACGAGGACCGAACCGGTGGATGTCCCTGCAAGGGGAGGGGAATGGGGCCTAAGGGCTGCCTCCTCCCAACCCTGGCTGCGCAATGAGGGGACCTCCTGGCCACAATCCTTCCCCCCCCTTGTGCCACTTTCAGAGGAGTTCCTTGGTGGCTGACCTCAGCTGGGGACCCCCGTCCGCCACTGCTTGACGGCTGTAGCAGGAACCCTCCCTTTCTGGGCCTTCCGCCATCTCACCCTCCCAGCCACCTCCAGAGGCCCCTCCCGCCTTGCTCACCTACACACACGAAGTGCTGTCCCGTGGCTCCGATCCCCCGGGCAAACAGCACCATCCCTGGAGGGGGGGGCAGAAGGCAGAGGTGAGCGGACAGGATGCAACCCCCCCCCCCGTCCGCACACAGCCCCTCTGCTCCCACCGAGGCTTCCACGAGTTCAACGGGTCGGTCCCTTTGGACAGCTCCAGGGCCCGGGAAGACTCTCCCCCGGGGAGCCGCACCCAGGGCTTCTGGGGCGCCCGTGGCGGGGGGCGCCTGGCCCTGGGTGTCCCGGGGGGGGGGTTCCTGCGTGGGAGGGGGGGGTGAAGGTACCTGCCGAGGCCTCCATGCCGTCCAGCGCGTGCCAGTAGACCATGGCGGAGCCGTCGGGCTCGTACATCTGCCGGGAGAGGCGGAGGGGCAGGTTGGGCACAGGTCGCCCCTTTCCCCCCCCCCCGGCTCGCCCCCCCCGCCCCGACCCCCCGGGGCTCACCTGGACGCCCTTCCACGAGGCCAGCACCAGCAGCGTCCGCGAGGGCAGCGCGCACCAGGCCGCCTGCAAGAGGGCGGCGTTTCTGGCGGGGCTCCGGCCGCTTCCCTCCCTCCCTGCCCCCCGGCCTCCCCCCGCCCCTCCCCGGGCCGGACCTGCGTGACGAGGGGGGCCCCGAGGCCGCCCTGCCGGGCCTGCAGCTGGCGGTGGGCGCAGGCCGCCCCGTCCTCCGCCGCGCTGACCAGCCCGACCGAGGCGCCGTGCACGCTGGCGAAGTAGGTGAGGCGCTTGGCCGGCAGCGGCAGGACGCTCAGGTTGTTGTAGAGCGCCAGGCTGCTCCCGCGCAGCGCCAGGCCGCGCTCCGCCCGCCGGTACATCCTCCCGCCGCTCCCGACGGCCCTCCGCCGCCTCCTCCGCCTCCCGCCGCCGCTGCTGCTGCTGCTGCTGCTGCTCCGGCTCCTCGCCTGGCCCGCGCGCAGGCGCGGAGGGGCGGGGCGGGGCGGGCGGAGAGGCCGTTGCCGGGAGACGGCGTCGCGNGGGGGGGGCTTCCCGGGAGCCCCCCCTGAGCCGCCGCCGCCGCCCCCCCGCAGCGCGTGCCCTACGTGATCGCCCAGGCGCGGGAGGCGATGCTGCAGATCGTGGAGTGGCGCTTCCTGGCGCGGGACGCGGGCGAGAGCGACGTGCCGGCCGACCCGGCCTGGCAGGAGGACAAGGAGCCGGCCGCCGCCGTCCCCGACTCCTGGGCCCAGGGCTCCGTGCCGCTGCTGCAGACCGTGCCCAGCCCGGAGGGGGAGGTAGGCGCAGCGCAGCCGGGGAGGGCCGGGGCCGGGCGGGGAGCCCCTCTGCCTGCCCGTCCGGCGCTCCGAGGGCGCTTCGGCCCGCCCTGTGCCGGGAGGGTTCGGGTGGGGCCAATTCCTGGGCTGCCCTGCCGATCCCTTTCCTCCAGGTGCCCGCAGGCAAAGCGCCGTCGGGGGAAGCGCCCACCCTGCCGGGGCTGCCGGGCGAGGAAGCCACCGAGGCCGAGATGCCGCTCCCGTGGGGGGAGGAAGGGCCCCCGGAGCCCTCCCTGCTGGCGGCCCGGCCCCACAGGCCAAAGTCGCGCAGGGGGCTGCCGAAGGGCCCGGCTGAGTCCCCACCTGTGCCCAGGGCTGCCCCTGCCCGGCCGCCCTTCAAAGACCAGCCGACCCCTTGCGGGCCGTCCCTGCCCTGGGCCGGCACGCTGGGCAGCAGAAAGAAGACGGTCTCCGAGCAAGAGCGGCTTTGGCGGAAGCAGCCCCCGGGGTCCCTGGAGGGCAGCTCCCTGAGGCTGCTGGGCAGCACGCAGCCCCTGCTGCCCTCCTCCTGCAGCAACCTCCTCCGGATCCAGATGGGCCGCCCCCCCAACATCAAGGATGTTTTCTACGACGAGATGGGCAACGTCATGCTGGTGCCTCAGCTGGAGCCGGCCCGCCTGCCTAAGCAGTGGATCAAGCCTACCGTGGAAGTGGTGGACCCCTACGTGGAGTCTAGGCGCCAGCAGACCCTGAAGATGGTCTCGGGCCGCTGCAAGCAACCCCGTCCCCCTAGAGGCCCTGCCGCAGCCAAGCGGGCCCCCGTGGATCGAAGCAGCCTTCTGGCTCACGCTGGGCCGGAGCCGAAGAGCCCCTCGGAGACAGCGCATGAGGCCCACCGGGAGCAGGCGGCCTATTCTCCTCTTCCACCAGGAAAGACCCTCGAGCCCACCAGCTTTGTGTTTGTCAAACCCACCGTGCTGGTGGAGACGGTCGACCTGGCCCCGGGAGTGAGCCTCTGCCGTGGCGGTGCTGGCCCTCTGAACGCTCGCTTGCAGCCTGTGGTCGGGGCAGAAGAAGTCACGGAGGCGGACGGATCCTTTCCCAGCAGGGCCAAAGGGCCCTTCCTTCAGGAGCCCCCGCTGCTGCCACACTTGTGCCCCAGAACCGTGCTGGGGTGAGGTGTTCACCGGCCCCATCCCAGCCTCACCCTGTTCTAAAATAAAATGAAGCCTTGGATGTGGCGACTCACACCTTTGGCTTTTCTACAAACCCCCAGACTCTGGCTGATAATCAAAGAGAGGGATTGGGGGAGAGGGTCCCCCCCCCGACCCCCACCCACATGTGTTTCCGTGGTTACCCTGCAGAAGAGCGATGTTCTGTGTGGGACCAGTGCCCCCCCTTTGCAGCAGAGGGATTGGCCAGCACACAGCTGCACCTCGACTGAAAAAGCCACCCCAGAGACGCCTGGCACCCTTCGACAGGCTCCCCATGACACACTCTGGGTGGGAAGCCCTCGAGCACCGGTTGGGCTGTGCCATCCACCGATGGGGCCGTGGAAGGGCACTTCCCCCCTGTAACCGGGGAGGGTGAGAGAGGCAGAGAAGGGCGCTGTCATTTTTATTGGAAAGATAGTTTGGAAATAACGCTGAAACCTAGAGGGCCAAAAGGAAGTTGTACAGATATTTCTCCGTTGTCTAGACGCACACGTTTTCATTTTCTTCGCCTGCAGAAGTCCCCGTGTCTGGCATTTGGTCACAACGAGCAGCACTGGTGGGAACTTAGGTGGGCGAGGGTGGCTCTAGTTGGGCCATCCTAGAGCATTTTTTGGCTCTCATGGCTGTAGGATTGCAAAGGATGTTGGGCAGTGGCTGCCAGTGGCCGACCTGTTCAGCAGAGTCCCGCAGAGGGGCGCCCCAGAAGAGTCCAAGCAGGACAAGTGGAGGGTTCCAGCAGCTCTCTGCATTTCTTGGACAGCTCCCAGTGGTAGAGGTTTTTTTTTCCAAAGCAAGTTTGCCTCGGTTGTCCTCCGGAAATCGGGGGGGGGGGGGAGGAAGAGGTGGGTGGCAGGGAAAACTGCCCTGATGGACACAGGAAATTGCCCTTAGAAATTGGTGGCGCCCTCTCTGTCTGTCTGTCTCTCAAAGTAGCGGGATGGGCTTACACTGGCACCAAGTAAAAGCTATGCACACTTGCTGAAAACACTTTTTGGGTATAAATAATGCCCCTCCATAGCAATAAAAAGATTGCAGACAATTGTGGGGCATTTTGAACAAAATAGTGTGATCTCAATAAATCCCACACACTTCCCAGAGGAGTGAAACAGTCTCCCCAAATACTTGAAACTTGTTCAATCAATTGTTCTGTTGTTAACTGCCAGGCACGGGCTCTGGAGTGTTTGGCAAATGCCAAGATTTTAGTTTTAGAATAACTTACCTTTACCACATCCTGTGATCGGATTGCATTTTGAATGAACACCTAAAAGAGAAGCTGTTTAGAGAAGCTAGCTGTTCCTATTTACACTTGCAAGTTGTGAGATAACCAATTTTCTGCCCTAACCCCAACTGGACAGTTGTTTCCTTCTTCTGTTGTGGCAGGTGCCCAATACCTGCTAGACCCTTCAGCCTCATCTTTATGCGACCTCAGCAAGTCCGGGTGTGGAGGGTCAGAGGGGCATCAATGAAAGGACCCCTTTGTGAGTGGAATCCTGGAGATTCTTACACTGTTTTGGGCTCACTGTGGCCGGCCGGGGAAGGACCCCGATGCGGTTAGTAACTAATTGGGAAAGTTTTATTAAATACCATCCTGTTTATTTCCATCCTGCCACCTCCCATAATGTTCCCCTGATTCAGTGTCTGAGCTGTTAATTTTGAATTAGCTGACAGCTGGAGAATTTCTGAAAACAAGCACTTCCTCCTCCTAACCAATAGACCACACAAAGTTTGTTTTAAACCAGACAGTGGGTGTGATAACCTTGCGGTATCTTACAGTTTTTTTTATTAAAGGATGCTACTGCCCTACAGACAGGAATTTTTTAGGTGCAATTTTCCTGCACTCTGCGTTAAACTTTTAATGCAGAATTTTCATAAAGTTTGCATATTAATAGAGCCAGTGTGAATCTACGGTATTTTTTTTCCAATTTGCACACATCCTAGATCTAGAAATAAAATCAAATGCAACTCTGAAATCAATAAAGGCAATACTGTATATAGGGCTGACCCAGCTTTACTTCTCAAGTAGATGTTGCACAGTGAAAAGACCGGATCCCTGATCAAGGGAGGCTCTTAGCTCAGGGGTAAGCAATCTTGGCTCTTTTATGACTCGTGGACTTCAACTCCCAGAATTCCTGAGCCAGCACAGCTGGCTCAGGAATTCTGGGAGTTGAAGTCCACGAGTCATAAAAGAGCCAAGGTTGCCTACCCCTGCTCTAAGGCCTGCTTGCTCATCTGCCAAGACCATATGTTTTCTGACCAGTCTGGACTGGTGTGAGTGGACGTGTTCTTGGTTTAGGATCGTCCCACGGGATCCACCGTTCTTGATATCTACTAATCGAGAAAGTCCCTGACTTCTAATCATTCATTTACTGACCAAAGTTAAAACAGCACTGAAAAAAGTGACTTATGACCATATTTCACGCTTAATGATCGTCGCAGTGTCCCTGTGGTCACAGGATCAAAATTTGGACTCTTGGCAGCTGACTCATCTTTATGACGGTCGCCATGTCCCTGGGGGATCAAGTGATCCCCTTTGGTGACCTTCTGACAAGCAAAGTCAACAGAGAAGCCAGATCCACCTAACCACCCTGTTACCAGCTTAACAACTACATTGATTCACTGAGCAACTGTTCAAGGAAGGTCGTAAAATGGGGGCAAAACTCACTTAGTGACTGCCTTGCTTAGCAATGGAAATTTTGGACTCAGTTGTGCTCGTAAGTGGAGGACCAGCAGTAACTTCAGCAGTGACCAAATGAGTCGGTTGGGCTTAGGCCATGTGTGAGCTTTTGAGAGGAGCGCGGAGCCCCCGACCGGCCTCATGGCCCCCAAGAAGCCCCCCCTGGCCAGGCCTGGAGGGATCCCGCTCTGCCTCAAGATGGCCCCTCCTCTGGCTCCGGCCCTGCTGGGGGGAGCAGAACGGAACACCAGGGAACCATGTGTTCTGCCCCAGCCTGCGTGAGTCCTTGTTAAGCTCACAGGGAGAAACCCCTCTTCCAACAAGCAGGCTGGAACCACAGAAAAAAAAAACCCCTTTTATTATTTACAGACCTGAGTAAAATGCCCAAAGGCAAAGGCAAACAAAACACAATTCACTGAAAGTTGATTCCTTAACACAAACGGTTGCCTTCGGCAACCAGCACTTCCCACACCTTCCCTTTTATTATGCAGCCCAAGACGTGGCTTCCTAATGCCTTCTCCTTTGCCTTTGGAGTCGCCCCATTGCATTCCTCTGTCCGACTCTCTGAGACTCTCTGAGTATCCTGGATGTCTTCCCGCTGTGAGTCATCACCGTCCTGGCCCAGCCTCCCAGCACAGCTGTGTCTCAGCCTGAGTGCGAGTGGAGGGGCCAGGCTCCTCCTCAGACTGTAAGTCTTGAAGTTCATCAGAGCCTTCCTCCTCCTCTGATGTCCCTCCAGGCCCCTCCTCCTCCTCCTCCTCCTCCTCTGATTCCCCAGACTCAGCTGCCGGGTCCACTGGCTGAGGATGCCGTATTCCAAGTGTGGCCTTACCAGGGCCTTACACGCTTCACGTGATCTTGATTCTGTCCCTCTGTTCATGCAGCTGAGCACATGGCGCCTCTTCCGCCTCTCCCGGATCCCACCTCTTCCTCCAAGGAAGAAGGGCTTCAGGGGCAGCCCCTGCAGTCCCCCCTTTCCTCACTTCAACCCAGGAAGGATCCCTCTGGCTTCCCTTGGGAGAGTCTCGCATCCTGTCTCTTTCCCTCCCCTCCCCAAAGGTCTGGCTCTGCTGCTCTGCCTTGACCTCCTTCTTCCCTCCGGAAGTTTTTATCTCCCGTCCTTGAAGAGGAGGCTTGGCAGGCTCCCCGCTCCCTCCTCCCTCAACTGCGGAGGAACAATATATTCATCTTGGAAGCCCCTTGACTGGAAAGCCATTGAAAAATATCCCATTCTCATCCAAGGCAAAATGAGAGGACCACCAGGGAGCTGAAGAAGCTTCTTGGATGAGAAGCGAAATGTCTTCAAAAGAAAACAAGGAAGTCCGCGTGCCGCCTGAGAAAGAAAGAAGCACCTTTAGGACAACCAGGACCCCGGATGGCCCAGAACCTCCGTAGACATTGAGGGCACTTATCTCCAATTCCTAGGAATTGGGAGCCACAGAGTCACGATGATAGGTTTGGCATCTCAAGGACTGAAAAACGGGGCACCCTGATGCCCCCTTCTCTTATTTGGAGCACCCCCCTCTGAGCCCCACTGGTGCTCCCCCAAGCCCCGGCCAGGGTGCAGGGTGACAGGGGGGGGAGATATCTGGAAGCTTCGTGGGAGGCTCACCATTGTTTATTGCCTCCTCGCTGTTTATACTGTTTTGCTGTTTTTATTCTGTTTGCTGCCCAGAGTTTCCGCTGGTGATGGCCCTGTAGTAAATAAATAAATAAATACATGCTCTCTACTATAGGAATTGCCACAAGTGCTCTGTGCGATCAGCCTTGGACTAGCCCCTCCTCCCCCCCCCCACCTAGCTGCTGCAAGTCACGGCCCGTACAGCAATTTCCTTTATTTTCCATTTCTCCAGAGCTCGGCCTTGGAATTTGTTTTGACAACCTTAAGTTACCAGGGAAGGTTTCCAGCTCCTCCGTCTTATCGCTACCAGCCCCTGCTCAGATTTCTGCTGAAATCCTCATTTGCACTGTTAACAGAGAGTTTCTGGCCACAAAATCCAGGACTTTAGGTCTGAGTGAGGCAAGTGGGCTTCTCCCTCTACGTTGGTCCCCTCCCCAAAGGAGTAATTCCTCACTTTCCCAATCCACCGGGTGAATTGCGAACTCCTTCAAGGGCAGTCGGTCTCTAAGTTGCTCAAGGTTTCTGAGGCGCCACAGTGACCCACAACGCTTTCTGCAATTTTTGTTTTGTCTGTTGGCTTTTGGTATTGCTACCCATTTGCAATCTTCTTTTATAGGGCTTATTAAATCTGAAAAATCAGAAAAATTAACAAAGATAAACAGGTGTGCACCCTTCGCCATATTGATTCCTCCCGTAAGGTGGGCCACAGTTTTCACCAGGAGCTACATTTTGTCTACCGTGTTTCCCTGAAAGGAAGACCTGGTCTTATATTATTTTGCCTCCAAAGACACCGCCTCGGGCAGTATCTTATATTTTTCGTGACACCTGCCTCGCCTCGTGGCGGCGGCACCAATAGCCCCATCCAGCAGGAGCCCGCATGGCTGCTGGCCCAATTCTGCTTCCCGTTTTCTGTTCTCTCCAGTGGTGGAGCAACGAATGGCCTGGCTGGGGGTGGGGGCTGAAAGAAGTGGGTGCGGGGTGCGTGGGGCAGTCCACCCCCTCCCCCACCCGCCTCACCTCGTGGCAGCAGCGGCGCAATGTGCCGCGCGGCCTCCTGCCCCATTGCGGCAGCCAGGTGGGACGGAGTGGGTCCTAATTAGGGCTTATTTTTGGAGTAGGGCTTATATTAGGCCCATCCCCACAAATCAGGGTAGGTCTTTTTTTCGGGGTGGGGTTTATTTTCAGGGAAACACGGTATTAAGAAGTCTGAAATGGGCCCAGCATGTTCTTTTCACACTCAATAAATGCATTCCGTATGGCGGGAACATTGGTGCAGTGATATTGTAGGACTGCAACATAACATAACCTGGGGCGGGGGGGGGTGTCTCAGGGTGGAGGTCATCCAGCCTTGATCTCTCTGAGCCAGCCTGGACTTCTCTGCCCTCACTTGCCTTTCTCCAAGGAGCTGGTCTCACCTCCTACACCTGCAAAACGGAGAAATATCCCCTATGCTAGCCGGAGGTCCCAGCAACGCACCTTACCTCCTTGGAAGGCCTCCTTGCAATCTGCTTTAACCCTGAGCCAGAAATAACAATAACAATAACTTCTCCCCTCCCCCCTCCTCCCCCCTCCCTCTCCTGCCCTGTCCAGTTGGCCTTCCCAAAGTTCTGCTGCATGGCTTCTGTCCAAGAAATGGGCAGGCCGTTTGTTGAACGTGGACTCTGCCCAGAGAAGAGCGGCTTTGGGGCCCTTCCTCTCTCTTCAGCTCGGGCCTCTGGCTCGGCACCCATCTTCCAGGGCTGCTCCTGGAAAGAGCCTGAGATGGAGGGGGCCGCTCTCCTTTCCCACCCGCTCTGGTTCATCTGCTCCCTGGCCCTCCTGGCGCTGCTGTGGGCACGAGGGAGAAAAAGCTGGAGACCTGATGCTTGTCCCGTAGACCTGAGTGGCAAGACGGCCATCGTCACTGGAGCCAGCAGCGGTGAGTCTGGCCCCTCAGCCACACCAGCTCAAGTCTTAGGCGGATGCATTTCCACAATCCTGGTTAGTCTGGGTTTCTGGCTTTTAGCTTGATGATACAGTGCGCGGCATGAAGCCTCCGTGTCTGGTTAATGTTCATAAAGAAACCCAGGAAATGAATTGATCGGTTTAGAGTGTCCGGACTCGTTGCCTGCAGGTGGCTGCCGGGTCTGGGAGGAAAGAGGCTCCCTTGCCTCTGCCAGGACCACTGTCCAAGGCAAGAAGCCCCCCCCCCAGACCAGCAGCCCCAAGTATTCCTGGGGGCAGCAATCTTGATGTTGGTGTGTGCGTGCAGTTTAAGAAGCCGGTCTGTTTGGTCGGCTGTTGCTGATGTGCTCCCCCCTCCCCGATTGTAACATGCTTGGCTGAGGGCAGGATGAGACCCTCGTCTTGTGGGACAGTAGAGAGGAAATGCCAGTCAGGATGGTTGCCCAAGAAACCGCTGGGGCTTAGGAGAACAAGACCGGGCCCAGCCTTTGGGAACTGGGACTGAACTCCCCGTGCCTCTTCCTGTCCCCCAGGTGGGCTTGAGCAGGGAAATGACAGAGGGAGAGCTCTGGGTGGGGGGGGGAGACCTTGGCATTACCTTGTTTGACCCTCATGCATTCCCCCCCCCCCCCNGGGGCAGTCCACCCCCTCCCCCACCCGCCTCACCTCGTGGCAGCAGCGGCGCAATGTGCCGCGCGGCCTCCTGCCCCATTGCGGCAGCCAGGTGGGACGGAGTGGGTCCTAATTAGGGCTTATTTTTGGAGTAGGGCTTATATTAGGCCCATCCCCACAAATCAGGGTAGGTCTTTTTTTCGGGGTGGGGTTTATTTTCGGGGAAACACGGTATTAAGAAGTCTGAAATGGGCCCAGCATGTTCTTTTCACACTCAATAAATGCATTCCGTATGGCGGGAACATTGGTGCAGTGATATTGTAGGACTGCAACATAACATAACCTGGGGCGGGGGGGGTGTGTCTCAGGGTGGAGGTCATCCAGCCTTGATCTCTCTGAGCCAGCCTGGACTTCTCTGCCCTCACTTGCCTTTCTCCAAGGAGCTGGTCTCACCTCCTACACCTGCAAAACGGAGAAATATCCCCTATGCTAGCCGGAGGTCCCAGCAACGCACCTTACCTCCTTGGAAGGCCTCCTTGCAATCTGCTTTAACCCTGAGCCAGAAATAACAATAACAATAACTTCTCCCCTCCTCCCCCCTCCCCCCTCCCTCTCCTGCCCTGTCCAGTTGGCCTTCCCAAAGTTCTGCTGCATGGCTTCTGTCCAAGAAATGGGCAGGCCGTTTGTTGAACGTGGACTCTGCCCAGAGAAGAGCGGCTTTGGCGTCCTTCCTCTCTCTTCAGCTCGGACCTCTGGCTCGGCACCCATCTTCCAGGGCTGCTCCTGGAAAGAGCCTGAGATGGAGGGGGCCGCTCTCCTTTCCCACCCGCTCTGGTTCATCTGCTCCCTGGCCCTCCTGGCGCTGCTGTGGGCACGAGGGAGAAAAAGCTGGAGACCTGATGCTTGTCCCGTAGACCTGAGTGGCAAGACGGCCATTGTCACTGGAGCCAGCAGCGGTGAGTCTGGCCCCTCAGCCACACCAGCTCAAGTCTTAGGCGGATGCATTTCCACAATCCTGGTTAGTCTGGGTTTCTGGCTTTTAGCTTGATGATACAGTGCGCGGCATGAAGCCTCCGTGTCTGGTTAATGTTCATAAGGAAACCCAGGAAATGAATTGATCGGTTTAGAGTGTCCGGACTCGTTGCCTGCAGGTGGCTGCCGGGTCTGGGAAGAAAGAGGCTCACTTGCCTCTGCCAGGACCACTGTCCAAGGCAAGAAGCCCCCCCCCCAGACCAGCAGCCCCAAGTATTCCTGGGGGCAGCAATCTTGATGTTGGTGTGTGCGTGCAGTTTAAGAAGCCGGTCTGTTCAGTCGGCTGTTGCCGATGTGCTCCCCCCTCCCCGATTGTAACATGCTTGGCTGAGGGCAGGATGAGACCCTCGTCTTGTGGGACAGTAGAGAGGAAACGCCAGTCAGGATGGTTGCCCAAGAAGCTGCTGGGGCTTAGGAGAACAAGACCGGGCCCAGCCTTTGGGAACTGGGAACTGAACTCCCCGGTGCCTCTTCCTGTCCCCCAGGTGGGCTTGAGCAGGAAAATGGCAGAGGGAGAGCTCTGGGTGGGGGGGGGAGACCTTGGCATTACCTTGTTTGACCCTCATGCATTCCCCGCCCCCCCCAGACAATGGCTCTTCCCCCCCTGCTTCCCCCCCCCCCGTGTTTAGAACTAGCTGGGGGAAGGAGGGGCCGGGCCTTCTCTTCCTGCTGCCCACTAAAAGGCAAAGGGCACCTGGAGGGAAAGCCTGGTGCCAAGTCACCTTCTCCTCCCTCTGGGAAGGGTCCCTTCCTTTCAGACCACTGCCCCCCCCCCTTAGGGGTGACGTGCCATGAGTTGCACCCCAGGGACGAATAACGGGGACTAAGACAAGCTTCATTTCATTTCCCCACAATTACAATTGACTATATAGACATTATTGCTCTCTGATATTTAATAAGGCTCCTGTTTTAGGACACTATCAGTTATAATTTGATTATAAGTTGGGGAAGTCTCCAGGCTTTGGGGAGGGAGGGGGTGTCAGCCTGTTTCTCTCCTCCAGAGGAGAGCATTCCTTTGGCAGAAGACCACCCACCGATGCCAGCTCCACCCCTGGTCACCAGCCATTGGCCCGATATGAGAAAATGGTGGTCTTTCTCTCTGTTGGAGGAAGATGGGAAGTCCACCGGCCATCGCTGCTTGCAGCCTCCCTGCCCACAGGGAGATAAGGGCAGCCAACGTGGCAGCCTCTGCCTGCTGAAGAACAGGGAGCCCTGGGGAGGGCAGCCCCGGCCAATGCAGGGGTCTCACGGAGGGCATTTAACCGAGCAATCTGCCCTCCCTTCAGGGCTCAGACTCGGGCGCCCACTGGCTGGAGGGGAGTCCTTCAGCCCCCAGGGACCTGCGATCCCCTCTCCCCTCCCCTCCCACCACGAGAGGCCTTTCCCTTCACAGGACTGCACCCGCCACCTGTCCTGGCCCCTTTCGGCCGTGATGGCCCAGCTGCAGCTGGCATCTGCAGTATTGCCTCCATTTGACTCTTGGGACTGGCAAGGGAGCACCGCTGTTGGATGGTGCCCAGCCCAGTTTGTGCCATCTGCTTTGGACCTGCTCAGTGTGCAAAGTCCGCGGCAGAGACAGAAAGCACAGTTGATGTTGCAGTTCCCGACGTTTGCAAGACGCAGCTCAGCCTTCCTCATGCTGCAAGAATCCGGCGGCCTTTCTGACCACCTCGGGCTCTCTGGCCCACAGGGGGTGGGTGGGCAGGTGCTTCCCTGGGGCCCCGGGGCAGCTGCTCTTGATGCCCATCCTTTGCAGGAATTGGCAAGGCCGTCGCTCTTGACCTGGCACGCAGGAACGCACGGACAATCCTGGCCTGCCGCTGCAGGGACAAAGGCCAGGCTGCAGTGGAGGAGATCCGTAGAGCCACGGGGAACCCCCAGGTGCAGCTTCGTCTGCTGGACATCAGCTCCATGGCCTCCGTCCGTGACTTTGCCAGGAAGTTCCTAGAGGAAGGGAGCCAGCTGCACATCCTGGTGAACAATGCGGGTGTCACAGGTAATGGGCACCGGGCAGCTGTGCCCTCTGCTTGCCCTCTGGGTCAGAAGGGAGCAGGCCAGAGGCCCGGAAGCTTCAGTTCCATCCCAAGGGCCCAAGGCTGAGAAAGAGACGGACCCTTCTCCGAGACCAGTGGCCCGGAGCCCAGAGACCCCAACCCGAAGCCTGCCCCCTCTTGAGCTGCCCCCCATCTTCTCTCCCGTCTAGGCCTGCCATTTGCCATCACGGTTGAGGGCCTGGAGCTCACGTTTGCCACCAACGTCTTGGGCCCCTTCCTGCTCACCAACCTGCTACTTGGTAAGGACCAGCTTCTCCTGCATGCAGCCTGGAGGTCGTGGAATCCAGGGTTCCCCCATCACCTCAAACCCTCTAAATCCGGCAGCTCCTCTCTCAGTGCCAGGTGGGGAGGGGCCAGGCCCTTCTAAAGATGGGATCCCCCAAATGGTCTCCAATTATGATGGTGCCACTTCCTGGAGGAGGCTGGGCAAACAGCCTTGGTGAGGGTCATGAGAGACCAGGAAGTTGCAAAGAAGCGAAGGAAATGCAGGCTGGCACCAAATGCCCGGTCAGTCATTTCTGAGCGGGAACTCAGCAGGATGGGTGAGCCGAAGAAAAATTGATTTCCTCGGAACCAGAAGGATAGAAGGCAAATGTTGAGGATAATTAGGAAAGCAAACAAAAAGACTCTCACCGCCATCCCTGCACAGCCAGGCAGTAGCACTGATCTACCTGGGCGGACCTAGAAAAAGCACCGGGCCTGGCCCGACTTAGGCAGATCGCCGGAACCCAGGCCGGGCTGGGCAGCTGGAAATGCAGCCCCCAATAAGGTCGCTGCAAATCCTTCTGTGGTGTTGTGCCCCACGTGGGCTGCCCTCGAAGATCACCCAGGGGTTAAAACTGGTCCGGAACTAGCAACCTGCTGAGCACTGGCCGTCCCTGGCTTCATCCTTACGACGCCCCTCTTGTGCCAATGGCACCGGCCTCCAGCTTTCCTTTGGGTGCAGTTGGAGGTGCCACTCTTTTCCTTTAAAGCCCTGCAGAGCAGGAACCAGGCCGGCTTCAGGGGGCCTCTCCCCAGAGACCTCTGCCCATCAGACCAGAGCAGATAGGGTGGGCATGCTCCAGGCCCCTTCCCTTGCCATCCTCTGCCTCCTTGGGAGCCGGCCTCTGCCCTGGCAGCCCCTGTCCTACACAACGCCCCCCCCTTGGGATGTGACAGCTCCCCAAGCTTCTGCCCCCCCCCAGAGCACCTCAGACTGGCTCTTCCCCCAGGCATCGGGGCAGGAGGAGAGCAGGGTGGGAGGGGAAGGAGGGCTGCGCTAGAGAAGAGAGGCCGGGGCACCAGATTTTTCCATTACTAGTTTTATTGTTGCTTTTACCGTTTTATTGGTTGTTTTTAAGAGAAGCACCTGTAGTATATAAACAAGCAAATAAATGGGGGGGTGTGTGTGTCTCAAAGAAGTCCTGGGTGTCACCCATTATTGAGGGCTGCAATATAGTTGCACCTGGCAACTATCTACAATATGGGTACTAAGAGGATGGATCAAGGAAGGAGGTGGAACCCCAACTTCGCCTGCCTTTGGGGTCGGGAAAGAGCAGGAAGAGAGGTGGGTGGAAAGGGGGGGGCTGGGAAGGACTCCCTGCAGCCAGTGGGAGCTGGCTCTTCAGAGGGCTTTGGTTCCCCTCGCTGATCCTCCGCGCAGGTACCATGGTGGCCTCTGCTCCAGCGCGCATCGTGAACGTGTCTTCCTTCCGGCACTTCTGTGTCAGGAAAGTGGACCTGAAGTGGCTGACCGGGGAGGAACTGCCCAAGAATGCCAGCCACGCCTACGACTGCACCAAGCTCATGAACGTCGCCTTCACCATAAAGTTGGCCCAGAGGCTCCAGGGCACCGGTAAGCACCCGGCTTCCTGCAGGGTCCCCGTTGCTGGGCAAAATCACAGAAACAGAATGAGAAATAGCAAAAGGAGGAAGGTGGAGGCGGAAATGACACCTGTGTGCACCTGTTGAGATCCAGCCTGCTCCCTCTGCTTCCCCAGACCTTCCGTCCTGGCAGGCTCTCCACTGCCAGGCAGCCCTTCGTGCTCGGCGTGCCCAAGTGCTCCTCGCTCTTTTCCAGGCTCCCACCTGCCCACCCAGCCTGACCGTCCTTGAGCCTCTCCTTCTCTCAAGGGATTTGCTCTTCCTCCTTAGATGTCCTTGTTCCCTTCTGCCTTCCTGACCGTCTGGCCACTTTCATTCTGCCTGCCATTTCTGACCCTGTGCTCTTCCCTGGAACCCCATTCGCACAACCTTCAGCTCCCTTTTATGCTTCTGTCCAGCACTGGCTCCCATAGGACGAGGCGGGTGGTGCTCACATCCACAGCCCCTTTCACATGGGGCACGTAGGAGAATTGGTGCTGCTTGGTTGTTGTCATGCTCTGGTGCCGTTTGTTAGTGGTGTGAACCCCTTTTCAGAGTCTCCCTGTCAGGGGCTCCCTGTCAGCCCTTCCTGTCCGGCAAGGAATCCAACCAGGGAGGGGCCGGGGCCAGTTTAATATCAGGTGCTGAGAGATGCTCCCACCAGCCGGGCCTGCAGCTCACTGCTCCTCTCGGAGGCGCTGCCTGGGGGCTCTTTCCCTGTTGGACTGCCCCTCTTTTGGGCTGGATGAGGGGCTGCTCCCCCATTCCGGCGGCTCCCAGACCAGCCTCCTTTTGCTGGGATTCACTCACTGAGGCAGGGCTGTCTCCTCCGCAGGCGTGTTGGCCAACGTGCTCAGCCCAGGACTGGTCCGGACGGAGATCCTGCGCAACTACGGCCGGGCCAGCCGCCTGCTCTACAGGCTGTGCAGCCCCTTCATGAGGGTGAGTCTTCTGAAGCAGCAGCTCCAGCAGCAGAGCAGAATGGGCGGGGGGGGGGAAGGGACTGGGGGGAGGTTGGGGGAATTGCTTGAGGGGGGGCACCAGAGCTCCCTGCAGCAGAGACGAGAGTTCCCTGACGGCTGTCCAGAGTGCCTGCTCAATGGGGCCCAGAGAACCGGACTCTCGCTCTCCAGGAGGCCTTTGGCTGCTGGGCCTCTTTCTCTGCCCCCCCCCCGAAGCCTGCTCTGAGAGGTTCTCCCTGCTCTCTCCCCAGAGCCCCCAAAAGGGAGCCACCAGCACCCTCTACTGCGCAGTCGCCCCGGAAGTGGAGGGGATTTCCGGCAAGTACTTCGACAGCAACTGCACCCTGGTGCTGCCTCAGGACCTCGCGCAGGACCCGGGCCTAGGCAAGAGACTGTGGGATGCGCTGGAGAAGGCCACGGGCCTCAAGACGGAGGGAAGCCATCAGGCGGTCTCAGGCCCTCTGGGAAGGGAACGTTAGGGGGCTGCTTCGTCTTTTCTGGCCAGGTAGTAGAAAAGCTGCTGCCCGGCAACATGGATCCAAGAACGCTTTCCTGCAAAGTTGCCAAGCCCTTTAACTCCACAAAATTCACCCTGGATTTTCTCTCATGCTGTGAATTAAGGACCTTGAGGTCTCCCGGGTGGCCCTCCAGTTCTCTGTTCGAGTTTGTGGGGGGCGGGGTCTGCACGAAAGCTTTCAATCTCTTTTTCCCAGGCTGTCATGACAGATTAAGTTTCTCAGAACCTCCTGATGTTTTTTGCCTAGAGCAGTTGTTCTCAACCTGTGGGTCGGGACCCCTTTGGGGGTCGAACAACCCTTTCACAGAGGTCGCCTAAGACCATCGGAAAATACATATTTCCATGGTCTTAGGAACCGAGACACCGCTCCTCTATCTCCTTGCCCTCCTCTTGGCGCTCTCTCTCTCTCTCTCTTTTTCTTTCTCTCTCCCTCTCCCCGCCTGGGCGCTTCTCCAACCAGGCTGGGCGGAGCCGGCGGAACAGCCTTCCCCCCCTCCCTGGCCAGCTGGATGGGGGGTTGGGGGTCACCACAACATGAGGAACTGTATTAAAGGGTCGCGGGCATTAGGAAGGTTGAGAACCACTGGCCTAGAGACTCTGAGGCTCCGCTCAGCTTCAGCACCGTCTCTCCTCACACGGGTCTCCAGCGATGCCTTTGCAGTACGGCAGGCTTCCCCCATCAGTCCTTTTTCCTCGGCTGCCCAACTTCTGCCGTGGGGTTCTAGTCTTTATAAACCATGAATATTCTGATGACAAGGGAAGAGTGAATTGTGGACCTTCTTACTGAAATACAATAACCAAGTTTGTTTTGCACTCTAATCTGTAGTGAGTTTACTGCTGTAAACAAAGCAAAATGGAACGCAAACTTCTCAAAAAAGGTAGAGGCTGTAGCAACCCTGAACTTTCCTTGGAAAAGCCCCCCCTCTCCAAGTGACGGGATCTCCAGGGTCTGGAAGTTCGGTGGGAAGCTTGCAGGGGGTGTTTTGGGATGCAGCCTGCTCCCTGCAGGGGAAGCATTTTGCAACAGCTTCCGAGACAAGGTCCCAAACGTGCCCCCCCCTCAAAAAAGCCGCCTCTCATGCTCTAGCAGGAGAGCATCACCCAGCCAGCCACGTAGCTGCCCCGATTGGCCCCAGGAGGGGAGGGGGCTGAAATCAGCCGGCTTTTCCTAAGGGGAGCACGAGGGGCAAACCAACCCCCCCCACACACACTTTTTGACCTGAATACTGGTAACAGATGCGAGCTTCAAGTCTCTCGCTGGCCAGGGAAGTCGGGGAGTTGGGGCCCACCCTAACGCTGGCGGAGCGTCTGATTTACTTTGGGTAAATCTTCCCCAGGCCAGGGGGAGAAATGGGGCAGCTGTGGGATTCTCCCCATTGAAGGCAACCCTTTTGTGAGCAGGTCCTCCCTTGTTACTGTGGCTGGAGGTTCCAGAGGAACCTTACCCTTTGTTTATACACTATTCATTATAATTATCCCGGGGTTACCTCTTTAAACGCTTTGGGGGGTGCGGGAGGCAAATTCTAAATGAGCCAGCAATCGCAGTGAAATGCCAAGAGCGAGAACAAAAGCTGCTGCAATAGTGCAAATACGCTATTAGTGTCAGGATGAAATAAAGCAAATCGGCCTATGCCTGGTGGGCTTTCTGCCCCCCCCCCAGCCTCTCACACCCTGACCCAGGGACTTTGAAAATAGGTGTGTGCAACAGAGCCTCTCCAAGCTCTGGGGGTGTGTGTGTGTGTTGGAGACCAAGAGGATGGCTCAGCAGATAATCTTCGATGGCAGGCAAGCCTGTTACTACTTTAAAAACCCAGGAAGGCAGGAAGCTGGCTGGGTGGCAGAGATTCGGGTCCATCTTTCGGAGACCCTCCAGGGAAAAGAGCTCCCCACTTCTGGGGAAGGACCCCAAACCACCCCAAGGAAGGGGGTGCCCGGGTGGGGCGGCCAGCTCCGCTCCTTGGCAGGGTTTCGGGGACCGTGGCTGGAAACAATGCAGCCCTTCTCAACGGACTGGGAGCCGGCTTTCCCCGGTGCTCCTCGCTCTCCCGTTTGATTCGGAGGAACAGCTGGAGGTCTCAGGTGACGCGACAGGCTGACGTCCTTCCCAAAGCACACCGTCGTAAAGATTGAGGTTGCCTCCAAGTCATCCATGGTTTTCTGGTTCTCTTTTGTCGGAAAAATTGGAGTGGGGATTTAATCTGAAACTCAATATTTAGAAGTTTTAATAAGCAAGTCTTGTAAATTTAAGACGATTAATTCAATAGGCTGCATTATCATCCAGCCAAAAAATCCACCAGGTGCCTGGAGCCCACCTCCACATCTACCGAGAGAAGTGGAAATATGAACGGCAGGAACCCAGACCAGCCACCGAGGGCGTCAGGCGGCTGGCATCAAGGTTTCCCACATATTGTCAGAGTAAAAATAGTAGCCGGGTTGCAGATTCTACAGCTTTTCTGTAAATGCTGTATTGCACCATCGCTAATTTTCAATATGCACATGAAATTAAACCAATCGGCAAGTTCGCCTTGTCGGTTACAGAGTGGCCTCTAGATGAGGTGGGTGGCACCTAAATGTCCTAGTAAATGCTCTGAATTAATTGTAATTAAGAAGTAACCAATAACGTGGAAGTGAAGACTGGTTTAAGTTGACAAAGAGGACTTGTAATCTGTCCTTTGCTTAATAGCTTCGGAACTGTAACTGTTCACAAATCAATCAGGCGCCAAGGGATCGGTCCGGGTTTCCAGTTTAAGCCACCCTTGGGAGGAACGCCTCCATCGCCCCCAGGCTTTTCTGGATCCCTCAGCCCGTCTACCTGAGCTCCCACCGGAGGCAACCGGGAAGGCTCCCCATTTGGCGTCTGCTCCCGGCCACGGAAACCGGCAAGTGTGTCGCCACCCTGCAGAGACCCGTACCAACATGTGAGAACCGCTTCCTCCCTGCAGGATATCAGCAGCTAGAGAAGGAGGCTCCTGAGCGCCTGTCCTGCCGAGAGCCTTCGGTGCACCTACCTACCCAGGTGAGAACACGGGCCAGACTGGGAATGCCTTGCCCTGGACTGGTTTCTAGGAGGGAGGATGCAAAACAGCAACTCCACTGTTGCTAGACCACCCCCCTCTGACCGACTCCCGGGTCGCACCCACAAAGGCCACCCGCATCTGCACCCAGTGCCGACAGAAGCCAGACAGACTGTGGGAGAGAATACAAACTTTATTAGCAGAGGCTCCTCTACTTTGGCCTCAGTATAAACAAAGCTGATTTTCTGGGCTTTCACTGCCACTGGATGTCAAGGTCAAGGCCTTCCCGGCTGACTTTTCGGAGAAGCTCGTCATAGTCGCTCCGGTAGATGTCTGGGCATTTGTCCAAGTGGAGGGAACTCAGCTGGTTGTCTGCAGCCAGCAACAGGTGGATGGTGCTGCTGGACACCTGGCACTGGAGCAGAGAAAGGTAGCGGAGGTGCACCAGGGCGGCGCCCCGGGGCTCCAGCACTTTCTCGAACACCTCATCCAGGCAGAAAGGCAGGAAGAAGAGATCCAAGCTCTGCAGGCAGGGGGAGTTCTGGAGGACGGACACGAGGTTTGCTCTCAATCTCGGAATAGGCTGGGAAGGCGCGGAAGTGTGCAAATGGCAAAGGCTCAAGGTAAACTCAGAAAGATCGGAGAAGCCGGGGGGCCCCAAAACAGCATCCTGCTCGGCGGGTGGCCTTCCCTGGCCCCTCAGGGAGAGGAAGATGCTGGCACTGAATTTCTGGAGATTTGGGCAGCGATTGAGCAGCGTGTGGAAGGACAATTCATCCTGGACGTAGAAGCCGTCGACGGAGAGGGAATGCATCTGGGCGCCGATGATGGCCACCACCGGCAGGAGCTCCGCCAGGTTCCTGGGTCTGCTGCAGTCCAAGGTCAGGTCGGTGAGGGTGTGCCAGGTGTAGAAGGCGGGGCTCAAGGCAGAACCATCGTCCAGAAGGACGATGGCTTTGGTCAAGTGTGGGCAGACGGCACAAACGATGGGCAAGAAAGTCTCCTCCACCTCCAGGAGCTCCTTGAGGGGCAGCGTCAGCTTAGGGCCGGCCTGGTCTGGGCGCAGGGCCATCCTGCGCCGGGCCAGCTCCTCCAGGGAGGGGAACTGGGGGTCGATCTGGGCAGCCGCGAACTGCTGGCCGAGGATCTCTTCCAGAGCCTCTGAAACAAACTCATTTTCCACGAATAGGAGAGCGGGAAGGGCCAGCAGAACAAAGGCCAAGGCCCAGACCAGGTCCCGGCTTCTGTCACTGGGCTCCAGGTCATGCACGGAGAGCACCTGCAGGGCCTGGCAAGAGAAGGAGCCGGCCGTGGCGTCGTAGGCCAGGTGGAAGAGGGACTCCGCAGACAGCCGCTTGCAGTCGGAGATGTTCAGCTCAAAAAGATGCCGACAGGTGGAGCCCACGGCGGACAAGACCTGCGTGTTGCACTGGGTGTCCGACAGGTCCAGCTTCTTGAGAGAAGGCAAGCTCTCTATCAGGTCCACCAGAGCATCGCTGGGGATCCGGCTGCAGCGGCGGAGATACAGCACGGACAGGTTCTGTCCCGGGGGGGGGGGGGAGAGAAGAAAAGGCGGCGATGTAAGTCAGGAAACACGGCGCTCTCTCTCGGGGCACACCTGGGCTCACCGGGTGGGACAGCCCGGCTTGACCTGCCCAGATTTTTCAACATCAGGCAGACATTTTAATTCTCCTGGGACATTTGACTCTTGATTTTACTGCTGTACCTGTTTCCTGATTTTAATTTTGATACTGGACTGTTAACAGATTTTATAATTTAAATTAAATTTAAAATTAAAGAATAAGAGCTTAAAATAATGTCTTTTACCTTTTACCAATCTTATTAGTGTTTTAAACTTGTAGATACTGGTTTTAAATGTTTTTATACTAGCTGTAGGTAGCTCTGGAAGACCGGTTTTGAAAGATAGTACGTAAGCCCTTAAGTCAGGGCTGGGGAGCGATGGCCCCTTTATGACGTGTGGACTTCAAATCCCAGAAGTCTAGGGCCAACCACGGTCTGCAGGCTCAGGACTTCTGGGAGCTGAAGCCCACAAGTCATAAAGGGCCCGTCCTTCCCCACCTCTGTCTGCTTTCAATAAATCATGGGCCTATTTTGTATTTTGCCTTCAATGAATCCTTGCCTTGGAACCTTTTCTGTCTGTGCTTTCAGTGGCCACAAGTTGAACGAAGCGAAGGCAGGACGGAACTTTTAAGGGTGCAACAGCCTTGGGATCCGATCCTGCTGCAAGGAAACCAGAGGACAACCACGAAGTGGCCACTTCTGAAAAACTGCTTCTCCTTTCCAGAAACAAACTTGAAGCACCTCGAGCGAGAGAGGCAGATTTTATGGCTCCTGGCCTCACCCTGCTTAGATCCTGAGGCCAGTCGGCTGACGTGGGGTATCCCTCCCCCATCGGGTTATAATCTTGGATACTGGGAGGTGGTTTGTTGGTATTTTGCATTTTAACCCCTGTACGTTGGCTGATGGGACATAAATCAATAAACCCTCATTTTATCCCAAATCCTCTTTGCTTTGATTGGCTCAGTTATCGTATTAGGCGTTCAGAGTTCCTACTGAGGATGGAAAGAAGGAAGGGCTGGACGTCTCACAGCTCGGCTAAAGCAGACAATTCCTGCCATGTCCCCCCATTTCCTTATTCACTCCAAGAGGAACCAGAACTGGACAGGAGGCATCACCCGCCAAGCCAAGCCAGCAGGCTTCCTGGGGTGAATCGAAGGGGGCAGCCGGGCCATGCGGGGCCAGAGAAGAGGACCACAGAAACCGGAGCCTCCCCCCGACCCCCCCCAGACGCCCCTCCGTCCACCTTGCAGCGGCTGGAGATCATCTGCGCCACGTCCCGGGTCACCAGCTGGGAGCACTGGCCCAGGTCCAGCTCCGTCAGCTGCGGCACCAGCAGCAGGTGCAGCACCGGCCGCGTCACGCGCCTCTTGCTGCCCAGGAAGTCGATCAGCTCCCGGACCAGGCAGCCGGCTGGAGGGGGGGGGAGGGAGGAGGGAGGAGGGCGGAGAGGGGGAGGGGGGAA